AGCCCTTTCACACCTCCGAGAAGAGAGAAAAGAAAGTAGATTAAGATTCAGGAGTTTTTTGTGTGTTGTGGCTGCCCCAAGATTAAAGCTGCAGGGGGAAAAAACAGAAAAAAACCAGAGTGTCGGTCAGAGAGCTCAGACCCTTTTAAAGTGCAGACGGCTGACTTCGCAGGAGCCAGGGAGCGCTCCGTGGCTGCAGCAGCCAGCCCCTCCCAGTCCCTGCTATTTGGGTCACTGTGCGATTCATTTTGGCCGATGTTTGCTCCTGAACGTCCGCACATGCGTGCTGTTCTTGATGCTTTGAAAACCTTTCGGTTGAGTAATGGAGACGTAGAGGGTTTAAAATACTTCAGCTTGGTGCCTTTATTTTGTGCCATTTGAAGCGAGTGTAACGTTTCCAGTGCCAACTGATACTGCAGAAATCCAAATTGCTGTGCAAATGCATGAGGTTTAGGATGTGCATTTTAGCCTGTTCTCACACACAGCGCTAAGGAGCAGCCCACCTCCCTGACGCTTCCCCATGCTGGTCATTGTCGCGGAAGCCTTTGTCATGCAGGTATCAGGAAGTACGTGCACTCCAGGGAAGAGCTTTCTCTTTGGTATTTGTACCAAATAAAGTTTGTTTACACCACTATTGTGATGTACCTGTTTTTTTTGACCCCTCCCAGCGCATCTGAACCCCTTTCTAAGTCTGTGGGTCCCTGCTGAATGGGTTTAAGTGGGTACTTGCTAGCAGAGATTTCTGCCCAGGATTTTGAGTTTAAAGCTGGACCATCAGAGGTAGGGACAGTGAAGGTTTGATGGGGACTTGGTCTGCGTCCTAGGGGGCTGGGTCCTTACTGGACGCAGCCTTCTCTGTGGGCTGAGGCTGCCGTCCTGGCTCATGGTGACTCTCGGTTCTGTCTGTTTAGTAAGCGTAGTTCTTCAGTATTTTTTGGTAATTCTTGGAGTCATCCAGAAAGCGTTCAGGAAACCTCTCTTGTGTGTAGATCAGCCAGAGTGGGTCTGCGCTGCCAGCGGCCAAGAAGCCTGACTGGCGCAGCTCGCCGTCTTTGTACCGTCTCCCGCCGCCTTCGCTCGGGAGCTGTAGTTGGTGGTCCAGTGCGGGTGCTGTGTACCCAGCATTTTGTTCTGTTTTTTCTTTACAGCACGTCCTATGCCTGGTATGTCTGACCTGCTGTTTCTAGTAGTTTTTTGTGTTTTTTTTCTGGTTTATACGTCTGTGAGATGCATTCGTTTTTTGCCTAGTGTTTTACTGAGTGTTTATTATGTGCCACGCGCTTGTAGTGGCTGGAAAAATACAGCAGAAAATTAAACAGACCAAACCCTTTATGGAGTTTACATTTGAGGGGGCAGACTGATAAATAAATAAAATACGTAGTTATGTTAGATAGTGGTAAGTGTGGCGATGACAAAATTAAGCAGAGGAGGA